ATTCCTGGCCCTCAGTCTTGTGCTACTCCCCCCCTCCAACTCTAAGCAAAGATCTGGCCTCTGTGATGATTCAGTGGATGGGCAAGTTAGCAGTGAAGTCTAGACAGGGGGTGCGTCTAGACTGGCAAGTTTTTGTGCAAAAACTTGCCAGCTGTCTACACTGGCCGCTTGAATTTGCGCAAGGACACTGACGTTCTAATGTAAGAATTCAGTGCTTCTTGCGCAAATACTTTGACGCTCCTGCTCAGGGATAAGTCTTCTTGCGCAAGAATACTTGCTCAAGAGGGCCTGTGTAGACAGGCCCCTTAATTTTTTGCGCAAGAAAGCCCGATGGCTAAAATGGCCATTGGAGCTTTCCTCCGCAAAAGCGCGTCTATACTGGGCACGGATGCTTTTGCGCAAAAGCATTTTTTACACAAAAGCATATACTTACTACACCCTACAAAAAGGGCCACACTGAATTTCCTAGAAAGTGAGGCCTGGTGGAAAGGCTACAATGGATGTACCCAAAGGATGCAAGCTAGCAGTGCTTAATGTGATGGCCATACACAACAGAAGTTTGCCATACTAGCCAGTGCCCAGTAACCCTAGCTGACCCCACATCTGAAAAGTTGGAACAGGGTGACTTGTCTGGGTGTCTGATCTTTGCAAGGAATGGTGCAATGATGTGATAGCATGTGGAAGGTGCATGAATGGAATTGCTAAAATGAGAACCGCCCACAGGGTGGCAGCAGATGTATTTCCAAGATCTTGCTCGTTTTCCTCCTGCGTGTCCTATGCCCTCAGTGCTTGGTTGCTCGGAAAACCTGCATGCAGCAGAACCCCCACATCTCCGCAAGAGGTGCTGGGAGACCCCTGAAGCACAAGCCTATGAGGGTGGAGGGACGCGTGGTGAGAGTGTGTGTGCAAGCAAGAAACTTTTCCCCATTATGTGTGTGTCTCATGTTCTGAGTCCCAGCAGTTCCCTGCAGGTCTCTCTGCGACATAGACATGCAAAGAAAGAGTGGGCAGCTTAAGGTAACTAGCGATGGCTTCACTCAAACAGCTCAGAACGGGGAAGGGCTTCTCGCTCCCTCTCCCACCTAGGCTATGGGGAACAGATGGATGATTCTTCTGTGGCTTGGACCAAGCCCTCTGGCCTGCTCCACCCTCGCCTTTCCAGTGGGGGTTCTGATCCTAAATCGGCGAGGAGGACTCTAGGTGGATGAACACTGGCCACAGGCCTAGGTCCGGATCATCAGGAGCTGATTACCAAACTGGATTCTCTTGTCTTACAGCCAATTTCAACACCCGAGCGTGGGAATATTCCTCCTTCCAAAGTGCAGACGACGCACTTGGCATGGGCAACTCTTTCTCAATGAAAGGTATTTCCTCCATCTCTGCCACTTTCTTCCTAGTCCTTCCCCTTTACTTCTCTCTGCCCTTGCCCTTTCAGCCACCCTGATGCTTTTTGGCAGCCCTTTCCCCTTATTTGAACCTTTTCTATTTGGCTTATATATCATCGTCATCTACATTACAGCCATGTTCAAGGCTACACATAGTTAGAGAGAGTCCCTGCTCCTTATAATCCAAATACAGACAAAGGAAGGTAGGAAATATTGTTATTCCCATTTTACAGATAGGGAACCAAGGCACATCGAGGCTAAGTGACTTGACCAAGGTGTCATGCGGGCAGTCTGTGGCAGAGACAGCAACTGAATGCAGGCCACCTGAGGTGCCATCCTTCTCCTCTCCTTTCTCTTTTGTGCAGATTTAAAGTTTGTGGCAAGGGCTGTGTTTGTATAGCACTTAGCACGACTTGGCCCTGTTCTTGGCTGTCTCCTGGGCAAAACCTGACTAACCTCCCCCTTCCTTGTCTGTCACTTTTTCCTTAGATCTCTCTCCATTTCTCTGTTCACACTCCTACCATTCTCTTTCCCACAGCCTCCCCTTCTGTTCGTTTGCTGGAGACAAGGCCTCTTTACTCTGCCCAAGGGCTCAGTCCTGGCTCATGAATCTGAGCTCTTTTTGCATGTCCCCTGGCAGAACGGTCTCCTTTTTCCCACATGCTCTCCCATCAGACTCCCCCTCAGCAGCCAGGGCCCGATCCAAAGCTCGGGCACAGATTCCCTATGATTTCACTGGACCTTGCCTTGGGTCCCAAAGTCTGAGGGTCAAGGAGCTTTGGTGGATTTGAGCCTGACTAAGGATTCCCATTTGCGTACCAGTTTCTCACGGCCTGGCTGGCACCATCCACACCCCCACCCACACTCGTGGTGGTTTCTTGGAAGAAAAAAACCTCTTCCTCCCAGTCCCTATGCAGAACGTTGAGACTGTCCAAACACCCTGCTAACATCTACCTTCTCCACCTGCCCTGAGGAGGTGGCCACCTCCGACTTACACCCCCCTCGGCGCTCCGGGCCTTCCCTTCCCTTCCTTCACTGGGTCCTGCTAAGGTTTTCAAAGCCTCCCCCCCGCCCAGGAAACTGGAATTTCAGACCCTTGTGCAGTTTTATAAGACTCAGCCGCAGCTCCTTCTCTCCCATTGCTGCCCCCTCCCTCCCCACAGGAATCGGTAAGGACTAAACGAGATAGCTGTTGGGTAATTAACAGTCCTTTGTTTGCATTCCCAGGGATCTCAGTTCCATACGCCCAGCAGGTGCCAGACAATTGCACAGGCTGATCATTATTCAAACGAGGACTTTTACCCCTGGAAGGCAACCTCCCTAAGTAACCGAAGCTCTTCTCTTTTCCAGTGAGCAATGGAACTAAGCTGCCGTATCAGTTCTCCCCAATGGGGCAGAGTTCACCGGGTGACTTCAGCAAACAGTCCGATGGCAGCCTGTTCACTAAGAGTGGTATGGGGATCTGGGGGGTAGCTGCTTTATACCTCGCTCCACCTCCTTCTCCCACCCCTCTGTGTAGGTGTTAGATTCTATAGCGACTGATGGGGGGGAGTTGTTTTCCCCACTCTCTGTTGCTCCCCAAGACAGGGAGCCTGGAGCTATGGCCCCTGGAGCCAGCGTTCCCTATATGGAGAGATTCAGGTCAGCCCAGCTGATTAGCAGAGCCCCCAGCCGCTCACAGCGGGTGTTTCTATCAGTGGTGCACATAACAAAATTGATTCTGCACACGGATGAAAAAATGAGAGGGAACATTGCCCAGAGCACGCGCTCTGGCCTGGTTAGCAGAGTAGCTGAATGCAGTGAGCCACGACAGCAGGGTTTTGATAACTTTGGGATTGTCAGCGCGAGGTGGTTTATGGGGGAGAAGGAAGGAGGGGAAAGTGGAAGAGTAATTTGGCAGTAGGGGAGGGCGGGGAAGGAGGGATTCCGGTGAACATCACCCACTGACCCCTCCCCTTGCTAAATCCTAACGGGATTAACCTAATAATGTGGAAGACAGTGTGGCCTAGTAGAGAAAGTACTGCATTGAGACTCAAGAGACCTGCGGTGTAGTCCTGACTCTGCCACTGGCCTGTGGGGAGACCCTGGGCAAGTCCCTTGTCTGCTCTGTGCCTCAGTTTCCCCCTTGATAAAATGGCTATAACGACACTGGTGTACTTTATGAAGCAGTTTGAGATGTAGTAAGAGCCAGGCATTAACCGCCATTCATTAAAACAAAGGAACATGGTGGAACACTTCATTGGACCCAGGATTTCTCCCTCTTCTTCTCCCTGGCTACTGCCAGTTCAAGGGCATCCAAGGTTCATCAATTCCTGCTAACCAGGGCCAGGCCTGGCCAATACAAGGCTTTGGGGGGGGGGGGCACCTCCTTCTTCCACTCCTCTGTTTAGGTGTTAGAATGGAAAAGCCCAGGATAAAGGCTTTGGTCGCGGTGGCTGGTCAGCAGAGGCAGCTATTGCTTCTGAGTCACATCCCATGGCATGGTGCCCCTAGGGGGCTGCAGACATGCCATCTTTCAGCTAAGCTGTAAATCCACGGTCTTGCTTGTGTGCAGCAATTAAAGACCCTTTTGCTCTTTGTAAGAGTCAGAGCAGCTAGCCTGGGATCTTGGCCTACCTAGAACGTAGCTAATTACATTCTGCCTCCCCCATACAATTTAACTGGCTAGGTTGTTTTTTTCCACTCCCTTCCCCCTCAGCTGTTGAGTGGTGTTGCCGTCCACCCCAGAAGTGGCTGCATTTTGGTGGCAGACTGATTCCTAACTATGTATATTTTCTAACCCTGTAATTTGCTAGGGTGCTTGCAAGAAGGGATACCACTCGGACCAAATCATAACCCCGCCACTGCTCCTAACTAGCTACTTTTGTATTGTCACAGCTTACCCCGCAATCGTGAGACACCAAACTACAAAGGTGCAGCCGCAGACATGGAAATCCTCCAAGCAATCCATACTGGTAAGTAATGAGACTGAGGCTTCTGCATTTCTGGGGCTTCAACAAGAGAAGAGACTGCTATGGGAGCACAGAGGACTTATAAGGACAGGGAGTTTTCAGATCTGGGGAAGGGAGAACAACTAAACGTCACCGGCGGCTCAGAAGCATTTGGATGCAGGGTTTTGGTTCAATCCCATTCCAAATCTTAATGATCAGGCTTTACATGGAAATCTGCTCCAATCTAGACCTTGGCACAGTTGTTTATACTCTGCAATATTACTGGGCACTCTGTGGGGGTTACCTATGGGAAGTCTGGTCATGGTGCCTAGAAAGCACATACGGTGTGCTCTGCACATCACAGACCATCGCATAAGACGGTCTCACATGCTAATCAGCCTTTAAAATTGTATGATCAAGCATATGGCAGGTCCAGGATCAGTCTTAAGGAAAAATAGGCCCAATTCATTGCTGCTGTGTCATCCTAGCTCTCCCAAGTGGTCAGAAACTAGATTTGTGTGGATGTGTTTTGCACCCACTTTCCACTGGTGTAAACAAGTTTCAATATTACCCACCCCATGTGTTTAAACACCACAAGAGATTTTTAAAATAGTGCATTTGGGGAGGCCTTTTTATATGCCATCTGCTTTCGGAGTCTTCATATTTCATGTTTTCAGGATTTCCCAGCTACTGTGATGTCTAGAGGTTTATTTTTCTTAACCCCTCTCCCAACAAAAAAGCAGCGATTCGTAGGTAATCACCTGACTCCAGAAGCTGGGGGCTTACAAAAAACACCACATATCACAACTCACAGGAGTTAGAAACACTGGACTAGAGAAGATGCCAAGCCATTTTATTCAATTGCTAAATAAAAACCATGCTGGGTTAACAAGCCCTTAGCAAAACAAATGACCACATAAAAACCTACTGGAACCTAGTTACCCTGGTTCCTTTATCTCCCTTAGCATTGAAAGTATCTTAGCATCTTGCAAATTCTAAATTAAATGCATGAACTTTCCCTCTACCAAATGAAAGTTTCTCTTTTGATCATTATTATGCATTTGTAAGAACGTTCCATCGCCCTAAGAATGGAAAAGGGGGGAAAATACCAGGTGTTACCAGCATTTACCAGCTGGAAGAAAGGAACACAGCAAGCAGCAACCACTTGCAAAATGACTGCTTTAGGGTGACTATTTGGCTCTGTCAAACGGAAAGAATAGACCGGGGTGGGGAATCTCTGGCGCTCCAGCTGCAAGCGGTTTGTCAGGGTTAGCCACTGGTGGGCCAACACGCTGTTTCTGCTGGCAGGAAGCCCTGCAGCACCCAGTGGCCCCAGTTTGCTATTCCCAGTTTGCTGTGGGACGTGGTGGTGGCCACGTCCGCGCTGATTCCCACAGCTCACAATGGCCGGGAAAGGCAAATTGCAGCATCAGGAGCTGCAAGGCTCCGTGCCTGCAGGCGCTCAGGTAAACAACCGTCCGGCCGCCTGCCAGTGGCTAACTCTGAGAAACCACACGTGGCCTGTGGGCCGGAGATTCCTCACCCCTGCCCTTAATATCCCTGCAGTAGCAGGAGTTAGGTAGGACCAGGAAGTCACTGCTGTAGCCCATTGTTATAATAGGGAAGCAAGGCTAGCGAAATAGGGTTTTCAAGTCCATTGGACAGTGATCAAATTGAGGGTGGATCAACTATCTACCAGGCGTGAGACCCACAGCAGGCATGGATCTGTGGTGATAGTCCAACTCCATTAATGCCACTCACACCCTTTGGAGCGCTCGTCTATTAATCAACAACCTGGACAGATTCCCCCATGTAAACACTTGGGTTTCTTTCTCATGCATATAGTAGATGGGGCTATTTTATTTTTATAGCTTCTGTTCACCAAATAGAGCTGAACCAAACAATCCAGATGATTAATATGAGCACTAAAAAGTTGCAAAATAGATACACACATTCCACACGGCAGTGGCTCGGTAGGAGCTTTTACAGTCTATTGGGCCAATAATCTGGCTTTTAAAATAGCCTTAAATATGTATTTAAGTAATCCACCTTCTAAAAGGCCTGTAAATATTAATTCGCACAACGGACTGCATTGCTCCAGGAGGCCAGAACCGTCAGTCCGCAGAGAGTTATTTAAAGGGGAGCTTTTCTCCTTTCTTTAATTACACTGGAAATTGGAGCTGTAAAGCAAAAGGAATTCACATGCATTAAGCAGCAGGTGCAAGAAGTGGGGGCCAAGCAGCAGGGATGGATGGACATGCTAGGTCCATCCATCCATCCATCCATCCATCCATCCATCCATCCATCCATCCATCTCATATGCATCATTCCACAGTCTGGCTACGTCTAGACTGGCATGATTGTCCGCAAATGCTTTTAACGGAAAAGTTTTTCCGTTAAAACCATTTGCGGAAAAGAGCATCTAGATTGGCACGGATGCGTCCGTGCCAATCTAGACGCGGTTTTGCGCAAGAAAGCCCCGATCGCCATTTTCGCCATCGGGGCTTTTTTGCGCAAAACAGTTTTTAGCTGGGCCCTGGTGGGTTGCCTCTCATACCACCGCTCCAAGGAGCTTGGAAAACTTCTCTATTGCTCTTTTCTTAGGCTGGTGTGTGGCAAGGCAGGGGGCTTCAGCACCTTGTCACACCACCCAACCCTTCTCAAGGCATGAGCTGGATCTAGGTTAGTGTATCATGATGATGCAAAGCCCAGGCTGCCTTTGCTCGTACCCTGTTGTACTAAGCAGGGATATGTAGGGTTGCCTGGTGTCCAGTTTTTGCCCAGACAGTCCGGTATTTGTGGGCTCTGTCCGGTAAAAAAGACCCCAGAAAATACTGAACCTGTTCTTATGGTTTAGCCCCCTGTTTTTTTTTTCCCGTCAACCAATTTTTTTCTCGCCATGTGCGGTATTTTTTGTGAAAGTATCTGGCAACCCTAAGGATATCGATGTCATAAAAAGGCTGGTACACTCACCGTTGTGCTGACTTATGGCATATTCATGGCTGTGCTCATTTCGACACCTCCATACGTCTTGCAACTCCAGCTGGCTCAGCATATTTTTGGAGCCCAGCAACATTGCTGGGAGCAGGGACAGTTGGGTAATCTCCCGAAGCGATGCACGGCATTATAGGATCTAATTAAGGGACCCGTTGAGCTCCTGCAGCCACACCCTGCAGAGTCACCCTGCCAATGCAGGTGACTCCGAGCTGAAGATCTTGCTTGAGGTGTTGCAACCAACTAGCACAACCCACCCATAAGGTGGCTGGTGTGGATTGCAAGTGCTGCAAGCTCATTCCTGCCAGCCAAAGCTGGTTTTTTGCAGGGGTCTCTTTCTGGATGTAAACACAGCCAGATCGACATGGTGGGAACAGCGTGAGGTTAGATGCTGTTGTGAAGTAGCACAACTGAAACAGCAACAAGCAGAGGAGGGTCAATTCGTACAATAGCTGCTCAAATTCACCATTGTTGCTGCCCCTTTCTCATTCAGGAAGATTCACACAAACTGGGTTTTGTTTGCGCAGATTTTTGAGAACTTGTCACACAGAAACCTATAGTCACACGTGGGCTTGAGGAGAGAACACCGGGTATTTCACAATGCTCGTTCCTTGCAGTCACGTTTAAGGGTTTTGGGTCGTCCAGCTGGAGAGCAGAAAAACACCACGTGACTTCGCTGACCCATCACACACAGACTGTGCCTATTGACAGGATTAGACCTAGAAAAGTGTGCTGGGAAACATGTCCCTGTGAGAGAGATCCTTGGGAGACACCAGAAAGTCATTTGTGAGCCTCTGACAGGGTGGCATTTAGTTCACCGAGGAATTCCAAACAATGAATAACCGCATACAATAATCCATGTGAGAAATTCAGCCTGGCAGCAGACACATGCTCCATCCACGTCCTATTTTGGAGGCCCATGTGGGATTGAATGAATGCGGAGACTTTGTGTAGATCTTCTGTCCCAGAATGAAGCCCATCCAAAGTCCATGTGGCCAGAGAACAAGGGCTAAGCTTGCACTGAATAAGTCAAGCAGCTCCAGGTTCAGAAGAAAGGGGATGGGTGGTGTCACACTCCCAAAAGCAGGGCGGAAGTTCAGGTGAAAAGGGGGACGTGAGATGGTTCATTAGATGGCAGAGGCAGTGCATGTTGAGGGCAGAGAAAAGACAGACTGCAAGTTACCGTCCTTCTCTTAACTCACATGTCCGAAATTCTCCATTTGCAGACACACCATCGCCCCTTTTACGTCAACAAAGGCAACGGAATCATTTCGCACGAGGCACCTTGAGTCCCAAGGTCCGTGGGAAAAGCCAGATGTGCCAGGAGTGGAGACCCAACCACGAAATTCATAGATGAACCTGCTACGCTCTTAACCTTCCCGCTGTAGTCTCTGGAGGGGCTGGATGGGGTGGTTGGTGCCAGAGGAAACGAGGACTTTTCCCGACTCAGAATCACTCCCAAGACCATTTTATATTTCCCTTGAAAGCTCCGCAGCCCCAAAGAACTGTAAAAAGCACAGCCCCTGTAGCCTTTGTAGTCCCCGTCTTGCAACACCCTCCTCTGCCGGCCGAGCCGATTGCTCTGCTTCTCGGTGCTTTGGGGATCTGGGATGGGAGGCACTGGTCTTTTCCTCTGCGCAGCATCATACGATGGGCTTCCTGCTCTCCCAACCCACACAGTCGTCTCTGAGAGAATTTCTAGAGCTGGTGACAGGTGCCAAGTTGGAGTCTGATATTCTCTGTGAATCTACAAGGCAGGGTCACCTTGGGAACTGGCAGGCCAAGCTTTGCCTATGCGCCTCTATCCATACGGCTCAATCTGCCAGGAGCCTCATCCTCCACAAGTGGGAAGGGTGGATCTGTCTCTGTGACCCATTCAGTCCTTGGCCTCTCTGTGGAGATGCTCTTCCATAGATTGCCACATGGGAGACATCACCAGGGCCTAAGCACTGCTCTGAGAAAGGCCACCAAAGCAGCATCAGAGAGTAACCCCTTCCAGTCATTCCTCCCCGGGCTGGCTGCCAAAGGCCCTACATTCCATTAACGCGCCCCTCCGGCCTCCTCATCAAATGAAAAAAGGAACAGAAAATCCATCCGGCTAATGGAAGATTGATTAGGCTTCTTAGGTGGCCCCCCGGCCCTCGGCAAAACTGGCTCATGTATTTTGGTGCCGTTTTTCTTCTCTGGTTCAGGAATTTATTTTTTGGCTCAGGTTCATATTTCAAGGGGGAGGGTTCTGACCATACCATGGTGTCACGGGGCAGCACTCCCCTCTCACGAGCGCCCTCCACTCTTGCCTGTTCAAAGCCAAAAGGCTCTTTGGCAACTCAGCCCCCTCTGGGAGAGTCACCCCCCCATGTGTGATCAAGCACGAATCTCTTCCGGGTACACACTTAACAGGGCCCCATCTCAGTGCCCTCTGCTAGCATCCCTCAAGCTACCCGCTGCCCACTCTGTTCAAGAGTGATGCCTCCAGGGCTTCATCTCTTGGAGACAACTTCCTTTGCCTTACTGTAGGGCTTTATTTCACAGCCTCAATATAGTCCACCACAGCTCTCCAGATAGAGGTCTCCGTGGTGCTGCCCATCCTCCCCTCAGCCACGAACCCTCTCTTCACTCTGAGATTTCTAGCAGCACTGAGCTGACTCTGGTCCCGCAACTCCTTTTATAGACCTTCTTGGCCTCTGAGTGGCTGGTTCCTCCTATAGCCACTCTAGCCTGCCTGGAGGATCTCTCTATGGTTCTTTTCTGAGGTGGGATTTGACAAGGCCCCAAGCCTCCAGCATGGGGTTTTGAGGCCTACTACAACCTGTCACACCATCAGAAACCAGGGCAGAGACCTTACGTGTTTCAATGATCCAACTTAATTTTTCCCCTGGGCAATGGAGTGGAGTTGTTGTTGACTTCAAAATCTCGAAGCGCACCAGAGCTTGCTGCTGCCCATAAGTTCAGTGCCTATCAAAGTTGCTGCTGCAGAGCCAAGAAGCGAGTGCTTGTAGCTACTTTCTGTGGCTTGTTCGGTTCACGTCTTCCTCGGATTTGCAACTAGCCCACCCTCTCTCTCTGCACCTGGCCTGCTCTCACACGCTTGCAGCATCTGGCTGAATGAGGTCACACCTATTGCTGGGTGAAAATTACTTTACAGTTAATCCCCAACGCAAAGTTGTGTGCTGTTTTTTGCATCCAATTCCTCAGACAAAACTTCTGAGTCTGAAAGATGGCTGCCTCCTCTTTGAGATCCATGTTTTAAAGAAAATCAAGGTGCTGCGGGTGGGGTTGGGCTCCGTTATTTGCTTTGGAAAATTTAAGCTACAGTTGTGTGCGTGCGTGCGTGCAAGATACTAAAATAAGCTACGGCACTGGCTGCTACTTTAAGTCATAGGGGATTGGGACACAGGTTCTGAAGTCATGGACCCAGGGAAACAATATGTGGTAATATAATATATTCAGCAACTGTTAATACAAACCACAGAGGGGAAGGGTGACGATGCACTGACTAGTTACTAGTGATGGGGTCATTTAGAAAGAGGATTTCTTTGGCTTCTGCTCCAAATACATCCCCAATTGCCTATTTTTTGTTTTTAAGTTACTCGTCATGGCTTTTAAAAGGCACGCTGATGGTTTTACTCTGATAAATGCTCCCATTTCCTTCGTTCATACTTGTTTAGAGATAAGCGTGATCCCCAAACGCTGGGTCCAAAGAACCCAGACATTTTGGGGAAAGCGGAGATCTAGATCCAAGCTTCACTGCAGGCTCTTATGTCAATAGGAAGGGAAATTGACTACATCCTCCTCCCCAAGACCCCCCCTAATGAAATGTATGTCTCACGCCCATCTCTACAATATTGCCTACTTTAGAACAGTCTTGCTGCGTGGGCATGATTCTGATCTTGCAAAAGTGTTTTACACTGGTGTAACACCACTGATTTGAACAGACTTGCGCCTGATTTATCCCCGTATGAGAAGCAGGCCCTCCACTTTGTCCAACCAGCACCCCTAGTTTGCTTGAAACTCTCTTTCCCAATGGAAAGCAATTGTGCATCAGGCAGTGCCCTTTTTCTCACTGGACCTCGTGGATTAGCCCTGGGGCTTAGAGGTGAATTTGGCATGCACTGCTGTATTATTTTGTCGGCCTGGATAAAAGCAGAAACACCGCTGGGAATTCTGTTGCATCGGGCCGGCTGGCGCTGTGCTCATGAGATTCTTAGAGGGTGTAACCTGCACTGCAGAAATAAAAGAGAAACCTCAGTGTCCCAGGAGCGGCTGGGGTCAGGATTTCTTTCTCTGCGGACTGTGTGTTTGTGCCATTCTGAACGACTTTCAGGGCTTTTGAAAACGAGGGAGATCGGTCTTGCTGGCAAGAGGCACAAAGAGAACCCAGGACGAGCGGAGTCTACACCTGATGGGTGTCCCTCCCCGTCCTGCAACATCCCCTGAGCTACAACAAATCCACTGTTCTAACTCAGAACCCCCTGCCGTTGCGTATCGACCCGGATGGGCCACTCCCCTACCCCTCTGCCACATAGCTCTGCCCACAAACCTCACACTTGGTCTGCGGCCTCCCCTTAAAAGTGATTCCATGGCTGCTTCCCCCGAATACCCACTTCTGCACAAAACTCTACCAGTGCCGTTCACAGGCTGCATCACGCACGGGCCTGTGCGCCTTGGGCCGAATTCTGAACTCCCGCGGAAGGAAAGGTTAGGCCACGGCTGTTAAAGACCAGTGTAGCGGTTTTATGATACAAAGGGGGCTGAGCGGAAGAAGCTATTTCACTCCTGGCCTGGGACCAGGTATCTGTAACAAGCTGGTACATTATAACCTGGGTGTGTCTACAGGCAGGTCGCCCACATTAACTTAGCTTTACAAAACCGCCTTCCCTGGAAGCAGGGAAGGACTGAACGCCACCCAATCTGCCCCAACTCCTAAGCACGAGGCAGCCTCAGCCCCCCGCCACTGCCGTCTTTGTGACTCCTGACAATAATGGAGCTCAGCTCACGGGAATGACCCTCCGCGCCAGCCCAGATTCGGAGCACGCGCAGTAGCATGAGCATAAAACAATGAACGTTGCAGCTGCAGGACAGTGTACTCAGTTAGAGCCAGCTCTGACACACAGAATAATGAACCCCCCTCCATGGGAGAGCGGTCCCTACTCACTCCCCTGCCTGACACCTAGCTGCGTGACACTTGGACAGAGTCTCGTAGAAATCTACACATTCCCACGCTGTGGGGTAGTTCAGTCCCGGACCCCCACCTTTGAGGCTTGCTTCCCAAGCGTTACGAGCCCTCCTCAGAAATCTCTGACGTCCAGTCCATCGCCCAGTTCCTCTAGGACAGTGTTTCTGAAACTGTGTACAATGGCACACCGGTGTGCCACGAAACAGTTGGAGGTGTACCGCGGCCTCTTTTAAATTTGTTGGGGGGGACAACATGTGTGGCAATTAAAGGGGCCACGACCGCTTTTTTTTTTTTTTGGTCAACAATTTTCCCCTGGTGTTCCACATAAAAAAAAAAGATTGTTTGGTGGCCTTAAAAAGTTTAAGAAACACTTGCTCTAGGAGCTGCAGAGCCGGGCTGGAAATCTGACTGGAACAGACAGTCAATGCTTCTGCTTCCAGTCCCAGCAAGAAAGGAACAGGCTCAGGGCTGGCCTTCAATGCTGCCAGACCCTGTGCCACATGAGACCCCAAATCCCATCCCTTTTCCACGCCCTGTATCTAGCGACATGACACCAGGGAGTGGAAGGAGGGCTGTAGCTTCTGGGCCCTTCCTGCTTGTGGATGCTTCCGGACGCTGGCTGATTAACTCCAGACTAATCACCACTGCCCAGGGGGTCCGCTCACGTTGCCCTGACTCTGTTTAGATTCCAAGGGGGAGAAGGGAACCGGAATCTGAGGGGAACACAGCCGAGGCGATGAGCATCGCCCCGGGAGGGGGCAGAGCTTGTGGTGAGCGCGCTGCAGGTGGGCTGCCGGAGGAGGGAGTCGATGAAAAGAATCAGAACACGGGGCCGGAGGAGGAGCCACAAGGGCCCTTCCCAGCTCTGCCCAGAGGCCCCATAGGTTGAGATATCCAAGAGAGACCCCGTTATGATTCACAGCAAATGCCAGCCCGTTCCACATGGGAATTTCTCTGCTAAGCGCCCTCTGAAACCCAGGAGACGCCAAGGCAAGAGGTACAGGGGGCGGGGGGTTCCTCAGCGGCTCAGCAGTAAAGAGTCATTGGCTCTGCACCTCGACGGGTCAATTTACATCCCTGCCACCGCAGTGGAAACCGCTGCCAGCCCGCTTTGTGCCATCGCCCACTTCGCGCCGGCCCAAAGGGGGCAACATGACAGAGCATCAGGCCCTGTTGTCCTGGCTCCCCGGTAGGTCAATGCCAGTGAAACCCACACACCCGCTGGGCAGGGCACTGTCCCATCCAGGGGCACTGAGACCACCTACAGAGAGAATAATGAGTCTGCTTTACTGGCTTTTAGCTCCCGGGCAGAGGCTCACGCACTAAGCCCCAGAGGTCCCAGGTCCGATTCTGCCTGCTGGGGAGTGGGGCGCCTGCTGGAGCAGAAGGGAGTCTCGTTGGGACACAATCTCTGAGGGGAGCAGACAGGAAAATGCCATCGCTGCCCTGTCGATTTGCACCGGGGAACTCCAGGTTTGAGAGACACGAGCATCCAATAGGTGTCAGCACTGAACTGCCGGTTCTTCATAGCACTTGTGGGGCGGCACATCCCTGCGGCTGGGCCTCTCTGGGGTTTCTCTTCCCACGCCGGCATTTCTCCCTAGATCAGCATTAACCCCTGGAGGCACTTCATCGTCACACAGCCCTTGGGGAATTAGCTGCACGACGGCTGCTGGCGGGGAGAGCAGAGGAACGGTCTCCGTCCTCTCCCCTATCTGCTCAGACCAACCGTGAGATGGCAGTAGCGTGCTGTGCTCCAGGGAGGCTGCAGCGCCCACGTGGCAGGGCTGAATGTACACGGGTGAGGCTGTGTGTTCACATGCCCAGCACCCTAGCTAACCAGGGAGTGCCCGAGAATTATGGGCCTGAAGAAGGGAAGCAGATGAAGCCTGTCAAAGGTGGTCGCTGTTCTTCAGAAAGGGGTGGATGCGCTGCTGTTCCACTGCTGTTTCCTTGTGCTCCCCTCTCCACCTGCATCTGTCCCCTTGTCTTGTGTGTTATACTCCGGTTGTGAGTTCTTTGGGGCGGGGCTTGTCTTTTTGTTGCGGGTTTGTGTGACACCGAGCACCCTGGATTCCACCACTCACGCTATACAAACCACACTGGGCTCAGACTGCAAAGCAGAGGCCTGAACGCAGGCTCTTCCTCTCTCAAAGGACGTCTACGCAGCACTGTGATTTCGGAATCATTGACGCTGTTTCGGAATAACAAAGTGCGCGTCTACACACAAGCAGTTACTTCGGCATAATGTCGAAATAACGTCCAGCCGGAGGACTTCTTACTCCGATTCCTGTCACCCTCATTCTACGAGGAGGAAGGGAAGTTGGAGGAAGAGTGCTCTATTTCGAAGTCAGTGCTGTGTAGACGCGCCCACATTTGAAATAAGCTTGACTCAAGTTGCGTAGCTTATTTCAAGTTTAGCCCTGCTGTGTAGACGCACCCTCACAGTCCAAGGGGGCTAAGGTGGCGTGCCGCCCACACGCTGGTTGGTGGGTTTATGCCCTTCCTGAACACAGTCGTCAGAGCCCAAATCCAGCCATTGAAAAATGTGGAATTTAGGCACCTTTCCATGCCCCTGGCAATGCTAGGAAAAGCCTGCCACCCCACCGCACCCTATCCTACCCGTGCCATCTTCCCAAGCAAGGCATGAGGACTGTTCATACAATATCTGGTCTGTATAGCAGAGCAATTGTCACCAGCTGAAGGATCACACTAGACACAAAATGCCTTACTGGATCCAGATACACCATCCTGCACTGCCAAACATGATGGTACGGCCAATGGGGCATCGGACTTTTGCACGTTTTTTTTCCCCGTAATCAGCTTTGTCATCTCTCGCACTACTTGACGCTCTAGTTGAAGCACCAGGACCTGGAGACGTTTTCAAATGAGCATCTGAGCTTCATAGAATCATAGAACTGGAAGGAACCTCGAGAAATCATCAAGTCCAGTCCCCTGCCCTCACGGCAGGACCAAGCACCATCTAGACCATCCCTGACAGGTGTCTGTCTAACCTGCTCTTAAATATCTCCAGAGATGGAGATTCCACAACCTCCCTAGGCAATTTATTCCAGTGTTTAACCACCCTGACAGTTAGGAAGTTTTTCCTAATGTCCAACCTGTCTCCTTTGCTGCAATTTAAGCCCCTTGCTTCTTTTCCTGTCTTCAGAGGTTAAGGAAAACATTTTTTCTTCTCCCTTTTAACACCCTTTTAGGTACTTCCTTTAAAAAATAACTTTTAGCCCTCCTGATTGCCAAGAGTAGCTGGAAAGGTGTCTTGTGTGTGCTAAAAGTGCTAAAAGAAACAAAAAGAATCTATTAATTATTACTATCCAGTCTCTTGTTTTTTGTTTTGCCACGTTCATGAGTTCTTGAGGCTGCACTCATGGGTTTTT